GTAATCTGTATAACTAGCATAGTATGGATATGATGAGGTGTAATCTGTATAACTAGTATAGTATGGATATGATGGGGTACAATCTGTATAACTACTATAGTATTGATATGATGAGGTGTAATCTGTATAACTAGTATAGTATGGATGTGATGAGGTATAACCTGTATAACTAGTAATCACAGATATGATGAGGTGTAATCTGTATAACTAGTAATCACAGATATGATGAGGTATAATCTGTATAACTAGTATAGTATGGATATGATGGGGTATAATCTGTATAACTAGTAATCACAGATATGATGAGGTGTAATCTGTATAACTAGTATAGTATGGATATGATGAGGTATAATCTGTATAACTAGTATAGTATGTATATGATGAGGTGTAATCTGTATAACTAGTATAGTATGGATATGATGGGGTACAATCTGTATAACTAGTATAGTATTGATATGATGAGGTGTAATCTGTATAACTAGTATAGTATGGATATGATGAGGTATAATCTGTATAACTAGTACATCACAGATATGATGAGGTATAATCTGTATAACTAGCATAGTATGGATATGATGGGGTACAATCTGTATAACTGGTATAGTATGGATATGATGAGGTGTAATCTGTATAACTAGTATAGTATGGATGTGATGGGGTATAATCTGTATAACTAGTAATCACAGATATGATGAGGTGTAATCTGTATAACTAGTATAGTATGGATATGATGGGGTATAATCTGTATAACTAGTACATCACAGATATGATGAGGTGTAATCTGTATAACTAGATTAGTATGGATGTGATGAGGTATAACCTGTATAACTAGTATAGTATGGATATGATGGGGTACAATCTGTATAACTAGTATAGTATGGATATGATGAGGTGTAATCTGTATAACTAGTATAGTATGGAAATGATAGGGGAACAATCTGTATAACTAGTAATCACAGATATGATGAGGTGTAATCTGTATAACTAGCATAGTATGGATATGATGAGGTGTAATCTGTATAACTAGTACATCACAGATATGATGAGGTGTAATCTGTATAACTAGTATAGTATGGATGTGATGGGGTATAATCTGTATAACTAGTAATCACAGATATGATGAGGTGTAATCTGTATAACTAGTATAGTATGGATATGATGGGGTATAATCTGTATAACTAGTACATCACAGATATGATGAGGTGTAATCTGTATAACTAGATTAGTATGGATGTGATGAGGTATAACCTGTATAACTAGTATAGTATGGATATGATGGGGTACAATCTGTATAACTAGTATAGTATGGATATGATGAGGTGTAATCTGTATAACTAGTATAGTATGGAAATGATAGGGGAACAATCTGTATAACTAGTAATCACAGATATGATGAGGTGTAATCTGTATAACTAGCATAGTATGGATATGATGAGGTGTAATCTGTATAACTAGTACATCACAGATATGATGAGGTGTAATCTGTATAACTAGTATAGTATGGATGTGATGGGGTATAATCTGTATAACTAGTAATCACAGATATGATGAGGTGTAATCTGTATAACTAGTATAGTATGGATATGATGGGGTATAATCTGTATAACTAGTACATCACAGATATGATGAGGTGTAATCTGTATAACTAGATTAGTATGGATGTGATGAGGTATAACCTGTATAACTAGTATAGTATGGATATGATGGGGTACAATCTGTATAACTAGTATAGTATGGATATGATGAGGTGTAATCTGTATAACTAGTATAGTATGGAAATGATAGGGGAACAATCTGTATAACTAGTAATCACAGATATGATGAGGTGTAATCTGTATAACTAGCATAGTATGGATATGATGAGGTGTAATCTGTATAACTAGTACATCACAGATATGATGAGGTGTAATCTGTATAACTAGCATAGTATGGATATGAACACTACAGCCGTGTATCAACACAAAACCCATGTATCAATATCAATACTTCAGGCATATTTTTATGCTACTAATTTATGGGTATTTTAAAACCTTGTCTGACTGCTCAATGTTAGTTATTGCGTAATGTATCGGTAATGCAGAAATATTACCACAATGTTGTTAAACGCCGCACTCAGCAATATTCCAGCTATATGACGACGGTCTGTAAATAATCGAGTCTGCACCAGACAATCCAGTGATTGACATCATAGGCATCGATCTACACAATTTGGATATGATGACATGCATCAACCAAGTCAGCGAGCCTGACCACCCGACCCCGTTTGTCGCCTCTTACGACAAGCATAGTCACCTTTTACAGCAAGCATGGGTTGCTGAAGACCTATTCTGACCTGGATCTTCACGGGTAATCACCACAATGAAGCAATATCGCGCCAATGTTGGAATAGTGTACCGGATAACAGAACATATCATATTTCACCTTGTAATAATGGCTAATTATAATATCCATCTGAGGACAATCAGAATATGTATAGAAACTCTCAAATGCCAGTGTGTTTTAGCATAGTTTTGCAATCTGTTCAATGATACATCTATTCAAAGGTATATTCCCCCCAAATCCGAAAACATGACACGATAGGATTACACAGTGTTACACAGGCATTTACCGACCAGTGTCTACAGTTCTCCATATAGAACCATTGCACACTGATAAATAAGTACAAAGATCGTTATAGTTTCCATGAACATACCCCTTGTCAAGATATCTTCACCTGTGTTAATTAAGTCTTTGAAAGGTATTTAGAGGTGATACACATAAGAAAGAGAATGTATGGATGTCAACACGTCCGTGCTCCTCAAACTAACAAAGTTGACATCCATACAAGCTCTTCCCCGTGTTAATTAGTTTGCTGATTTAAGTGGCTACTGAAAAGGATTGGGGAAATAGATAAAACATATACCAAGATAAAGTAGGATGCCATCAACCAATTAATCACACTCTTGGCTCTCATTTGTATCTCCTACAAACCGCCTCGGTGTTGACATGGCCAATCCTTAGAACACGTACTGAATCCGTAATAAAATGATTCGTAGACGGTGCATCCTGTTGCATGACACTGAATAGGTAGGGCATTCCTTGCAGGACACTGTGTATCCTCTTGTGTTTTTTTCTATTCACCAACACGCTATGTACAAGATCCCACCCCATATTCACGTGCTCACGCTCTGTGCCCTCTCTCGCCGCGTTAATACACCGATATGTTGGTTTATGCATGAAGCACTTACGTCCATGTTGAACACGCTTGTTAATTATGCGATTGTGTGTATAGTTAAGGGGAGGGGGCTACAAAGAAAGACGGGGATAACGAGCTCTATGTCGGGTCACAGGTAATTAACTACTGACACGTGGACAAATTGTTAATAGACAAGGCAGGTGTGGAAGGTGAAGAACTTCCCTCGTTACCTCTGCAAATAGATTAAACTTTCTTTTTTACTTAAACACTTACTAAGTCCTTGATAGTAGATCATTTAAAGGGTTAATGAAACACAATGGACCGAAAATATCTTTTCTTGAATTACTGAGCTTAGCAATAACTCATGATGGTGTCTTCCTGGTTGACATTCGTACCAACTGACCCTGAACTCTCAACCATCTCATACTTGTCTTAAGGGCCACCATAGGGGATCGAGTGGTGAGCATGGTTTCTGTCGAGTCACATATGCATATTTGTATTATAATTCCGATTATATGGACTTCATTTCACGCCAACCTTGACGTTACGACACCACCGCACCCCTTTTCAAAGGTCTCAAAGCGTTTGTTTAAAACACGCGTAATCCCGAGTTCCCCATGCCGACGCTGACATGACAAACATTGTCGGTCATGGGTGGCACTCGGGACAAACACTTAAGTGTTCAGGGAATTGTTGAATGCAATTATTTCGTGACACACAGGTTATTAGAACAAGCCCGGGCTGTCGTGACATTAGGACACGTTTCAAGATGCATGCGGTGGTGATCAACGACTTCTTCATTACTGGAGACATGAGTGAATGAGTATGGTTTTACGCCGCTTTTAGCAACATTCTAGCAATATCACGATGCCCCATCTATAAAATCTTCCTTCTTCTACTGAAAACTTTTGTTCTTATGAGTTAGTGAGTATGGTTTTACGCCGCTTTTAGCAACGTTCCAGCAATTTCACGGAGGGAGACACCAGAAATGGGCTTCACACATTGTACCCATGTCGGGAATCGAACCCGGGTTTTCGGCGTGACGAGCGGACGCTTAAGCCACATGGCTACCCGACCGCCCCTACTGGAGACATGCACCCAGGGACAATGTGATGATCAGGGCCCACTTGCACAAAGCGACCTTAGCGCTAAGACTATCTTAAGCCTGTGTTAAAGTATGGAAGTTACGATCATCTTAGCGCAAAATCGCTTTGTGCAAGTGGGCCCTGATCAGCGAGAAGCCGTATCATGTGTCACTCCAATGAAACCTTGTTAAACCGGACGATTCTGCGATTTGCCGATACCATCACTGTCCATGACAACCGTTATGTGAGAGAAGAAAGTTTGAGTGTTTAAGGGACAAACCATTTGGTGGGTTGGATGATTTTGTATGAAGTCAAGAATCCCCGTGTTATGGGTTTTCGGACGCTTAAGAAACATTTGTGGTTTTCTCTTCATTCACATCAGCAAATGTAAGACATCTCATTCACTTTTAAAAGACAACCTTCTCTTAAAAATAAGCCATCTTCTAAGTACAGTAAACTACGTTTTTAACGAACTGACAGATATTACGAACTGTTTTGGGATCCCGTCCATTTGCTGTACAGACTGTATATGTACCTATTAGTTCGTTATAACCGTAGTGTACCGTGTTAACAATGTGTTTGTGATACTACCCCCCTCCCCGTTATAGCGCGAGTAATCACGATAAACACGGCTGTCCGAAAACCTATGATCCGACGATGAAACAACATCACAATGGACCTAAAATATCTCTTCCTGCTTTGCTGAGCTAAACAATTCAAGATAACAGGATTTCCTGGTCGACACTCGTACCTACTTACTCTCAACTCTCCACTATACCATACTTGTCTCAAGGGTCACTACAGGGGATCGAGTGGTGAGCATGCTGTCTGTCGAGTACACATATACATAATATAATATACAGTAAACTACGGTTATAACGAACACGCTTATAACGATCTGGCCGATATAACGAACTTATCTTGTAGTCCCGTCTATGTGTTGTATATATGCTGTATATATGCTTATAACGAACTACCGTTATTACGAACTAAAATAAGTGGCCCCTTTGAGTTCGTAATTACCGTAGTTTACTGTATCTGTATTATAATCCCGAATAGATGGACTTCATTTGACCCCAGGCTCCGTGTTACGATACCACCACACCCCTTTTTAAAAGTCACACAGCGTTTGTTTAAAACACACGTAATCCCGAATTTCTCATATCGACGCTGGCACGACAAACATTGTCGGCCATGGGTGAATAGATTTTCCTCCTACAATACCAGATGGTCTCCCTCTTCGTTATCTAAATGTGGTATTTGATTACTGACCTGAATGTGGAGTATAACGTGTTGTTTGATTACCGACCTGCGTGTTGTATCATCGTATCCCAATTGAGTGGAACTATGCTCGTGATACCAATCACTGGATTGTCTGGTCAAGACTCAATTACCTACAGACCGCCGTCATAAAGCTGGCATATTGCTGAGTGTGGCGTAAAACAACAAACAAACAAACATTATCATGTGTTGTTTAATTACCTACCTCGTTGTGCAGTATAACGTGTTGTTTGATTACCGACCTCGTTGTGCAGTATAACGTGTGGTTTGATTACCGACCTCGTTGTGCAGTATAACGTGTTGTTTGATTACCGACCTCGTTGTGCAGTATAACGTGTTGTTTGATTACCGACCTCGTTGTGTAATATAACGTGTTGTTAGATTACCGACCTCGTTGTGCAGTATAACGTGTTGTTTGTTTACCGACCTCGTTGTGCAGTATAACGTGTTGTTTGATTACCGTCCTAGGTGTGTAGTATAACGTATTGTTTGATTACCGACCTCGTTGTGCAGTATAACGTATTGTTTGATTACCGACCTCGTTGTGCAGTATAACGTGTTGTTTGATTACCGACCTCGTTGTGCAGTATAACGTATTGTTTTATTACCGACCTCGTTGTGCAGTATAACGTGATGTTTGATTACCGACCTCGTTGTGCAGTAAAACGTGCTGTTTGATTACCGACCTCGTTGTGCAGTATAATGTGTTGTTTGATTACCGACCTCGTTCTGCAGTATTACGTGTTGTTTGATTACCGACCTCGTTGTGCAGTATAACGTGTTGTTTGATTACCGACCTCGTTGTGCAGTATAAGGTGTTGTTTGATTACCGACCTCGTTGTGCAGTATTACGTGATGTTTGATTACCGACCTCGTTGTGCAGTAAAACGTGCTGTTTGATTACCGACCTCGTTGTGCAGTATTACGTGATGTTTGATTACCGACCTCGTTGTGCAGTAAAACGTGCTGTTTGATTACCGACCTCGTTGTGCAGTAAAACGTGATGTTTGATTACCGACCTCGTTGTGCAGTAAAACGTGTTGTTTGATTACCGACCTCGTTGTGCCGTATAACGTGTTGTGCAATTACCGACCTCGTTGTGCAGTATAAGGTGCTGTTTGATTACCGACCTCGTTGTGCAGTAAAACGTGATGTTTGATTACCGACCTCGTTGTGCAGTATTACGTGATGTTTGATTACCGACCTCGTTGTGCAGTAAAACGTGCTGTTTGATTACCGACCTCGTTGTGCAGTAAAACGTGATGTTTGATTACCGACCTCGTTGTGCAGTAAAACGTGTTGTTTGATTACCGACCTCGTTGTGCCGTATAACGTGTTGTGCAATTACCGACCTCGTTGTGCAGTATAAGGTGCTGTTTGATTACCGACCTCGTTGTGCAGTAAAACGTGATGTTTGATTACCGACCTCGTTGTGCAGTATAACGTGTTGTTTGATTACCGACCTCGTTGTGCAGTATAATGTGTTGTTTGATTACCGACTTCGTTGTGCAGTATAACGTGATGTTTGATTACCGACCTCGTTGTGCAGTAAAACGTGCTGTTTGATTACCGACCTCGTTGTGCAGTATAATGTGTTGTTTGATTACCGACCTCGTTGTGCAGTATTACGTGTTGTTTGATTACCGACCTCGTTGTGCAGTATAACGTGTTGTTCGATTACCGACCTCGTTGTGTAGTATAACGTGTTGTTTGATTACCGACCTCGTTGTGCCGTATTACGTGATGTTTGATTACCGACCTCGTTGTGCAGTATAATGTGTTGTTTGATTACCGACCTCGTTGTGCAGTATAATGTGTTGTTTGATTACCGACCTCGTTGTGCAGTATAATGTGTTGTTTGATTACCGACCTCGTTGTGCAGTATAATGTGTTGTTTGATTACCGACCTCGTTGTGCAGTATAATGTGTTGTTTGATTACCGACCTCGTTGTGCAGTATAATGTGTTGTTTGATTACCGACCTCGTTGTGCAGTATAATGTGTTGTTTGATTACCGACCTCGTTGTGCAGTATAACGTGTTGTTTGATTACCGACCTCGTTGTGCAGTATAATGTGTTGTCCGACTGCCATATGTCAGTATGTCACTATTGATACTTAGTTCACTGTTACCCAATCGATAATTAAATAAAAAAGACAATTCGGCTTCTCACAGCCCAGTACAAGATCGATATGTTTGACTTATTTGCGTCTTAGAAAGTCATGCTTCTTTGTTGAGCAAATCTTCCCGAGTTATATACCCCAAACGCCTCTCAACATGTGTGACAAAACCAGTTTCCACAGCCGTTCCTCAAGTTGATAGTTAAAAGTATTATGCATGAATTTTTTATCGTTTCTCGTCTAATCGCAAAACCGGTGAGAAAGAAAAATGATGCATGTCTGTACGTATGCATAAAAAACAAATTGACACCAAAGCAGATTTCGAATTAATGCATATTATATTCTGTTTATCTGACAGTAAAGAATCAACTTAAAGAGATGTTTCAATTCACAGTAGTAAAATCTTTATAAAAAGTACGTTGAACTTACAGAATTAAAAATACATATCCCTTAGGGGTATTAATCTTCACATTGCTGTCTCAGAGTCAAGGCAAAAAATGAAAAGTCAAAAGTGGATGCCACAAATGTAAGGACCCTACACAAGAATCACTCTAACCATGTAGCAGAGATTGCATGGGAACTGATGTATATCCTATTAGGAAACAAAACAACAAAAAACACAACATTCCCATGCACAGTGTGTAAATAGTCATGCAAAGAACGTCATGTTAACACATGCCCATTAGTACGTCCTTGTCTATGTTCAATTTGGTAATACATTAAACTCGTGAACTGTATTATCTCGAGTTATCGTTCATTTGACGTAACTGCATGGTCCCGATGATGGTCTGAAATCGACACTCAGCCTCTCCCGAAATACAGATACCTCGACATGTATGTGATGGCAACACGTCGAGTTAACTGTCACTATTTCTTTTACGAACATGTCAAGTTAAAAGTCACTATTGTTTCCTTTAGGAACACGTCGAGTTCAAAGCCACTGTTGTTTCCTTTATGAACACGTCGAGTTTACTATCTCTGTTTCCTTGATGAACACGTCGAGTTAACTGTCACTATTGTTTCCTTGATGAACACGTCGAGTTAAAAGTCACCATTCTTTCTTTACGAACACGTCGAGTTAAAAGTCATTGTTTCCTATACGAACACCTCGAGTTAAAAGTCACAGTTTGTTTCCCTATTTGGACACGTCAATTTAACTGTTACTATTTTGTTCCTTTATGAACACGAGGCTAGCAAAGATGAACCAGAAAATTAACTATTTCCATGGTAATGATCATCTGGGCACTTCCACTAGGCAATTATTCTTACAAGTCATATACGAACACGCAAAACACATAACTCACACATTTGACTGTACGCACCTACAGGTTTATCTGATAAATATATGCTTGTGTACGATTTCGTATTTGCATAAACCTTGCGTCTCCATTGTGCTATGAACGTTTCTTTCATTCCAAAATAAATGCTGTTTGTTTAATAAATGCACAGCAAACAGTTCACTTTAGATATTTACATTGCTAAAAGCGCCAGGCGTGAACACTTTACAGTAAGGAACGTTTTGTTGTGAAATTGATCAATAAAACATCAATAAAACGTCCTGTCATCAAATATCCGCACACCTACTGCAAGGGTACACTTTGTAAGGGGCCAGATAGCCAGGTTACCTTCACTGTAGTACAAGTCCTCGGTGAGGGGACCCTTTTCAATTTCACATAATTAGTCAGATAATGTCACGTAGTCCAAGACTGACCGGTTGTTTGCGCGAGGATGAGTAATTCGATGTCCCTGGAGAGCGGTCAGTCTCGTCCACTGTTAGAGCGCTCCCATGGGTGTACGTGGCCAGGTCGGGTCAACTCATGACATTAGTCGTGGAGACAATAGTATGTCGCTAAGTGACTTTTAAGCGCTATTTCAACACGTGAAGAAGCCTCGTTGTGTAGATTGCAGTTGTACTGGCGAGTGCTTTCAATGCAGGAACGAGACACAATTTATTTGTTTGTCGTAGGTCGTGTCCACAGAAGCTACTTAGTTAGTCGCGTGTGTGGCATTCCCTTTAACTTGTGTAATTAATGCAGGTTCTGCAGACATAACAATCAAGGGGCTAGGATATGGCTTTATAACGCAGACTTTCCAAACCCGAGGCGAACATCTTATATAATTAAGGATGTGGCCTCTCTATACCTTCCTCTCCGTCAACACAGCAATAGATGGATTTTGGTCATATAACAAGTTTGTTTTTTTACCACCTTTTTAACCAAGAAATGGCAGGTAGATCGAAGTGTAATTCACTTTTGTACTTTGATTTACAACCATCCTAAATGGACCACTGTCTCTTCAATGTTCAAACCTTCGCACGACAGGTTTTCCCCAAGTTTGTAAAATGACGAACAGTTGTGCTGTGCTTCAGGATGGGTGGCATCAAAAAGTGCATGATGGAAACTAAATTACGAACTCG